AGACGGACTTTGAAAGAGCAGCTGGGCCCAGTTGCGATGCACGTGAGGGAGAGGGGCTGCTTCTGTCTCCTCAGCACCTCGGTCCCTAGGTCTGCTGTGTCCCTACACCTCCTGATTGTCAGCAGGAGTTCTTATAACTTCTTGCAGGAATCCAGTTAAACTGTGACTTGAGAGCGAACTGTTTAATTATTAAGATCACTCAGGTCAGTGAATTGTTGAAGCGGGTCTAAAGGGCAGAGGAATTTGGATCAGGTGGGGGAAATGACCCAGTGTTTGGCAATTTGGGCTCCCTCCTCCCTAGACTAGACCAGACAGTTAACCTCCTCACTCGGGAAGATGGGAAAGGGCTCAGAGCAGTGAGAGCGGCCCAGCAGGCTGTGAACATCAAGTCTTAAGCCAAATCTCACACTCAGCTTTCCTGACTTGCAGAAAGACTCCGGAGGGCTCACAGAACCCCCCAGGAGGAGTCGAAGCACAGCAGAGATGGAGGGCTCTGAGGTCGGGCTAGAGGAAGTGACTGACCCCAGGGCCCCCCCAGATCTGCGCAAGCCAAACTAAATCCACCTGCTCCACCCCCCAGTGCTGGCTCTGTCTCCCTGCTCCAGGCTGATGATGATACTGCCCCGGTAGCCAGTGTCAGCTGTAAGGGCAGTACTGTCTGAGACATTGCAGCAGGAGTGGGGCTGCTGGCTCGTGGGCATCTAGTAAGTCGTATGATGGGCAGGGAATTGATGGCGCGCTGGAGGTGGGTGGAGGACATGTCAGTGTCACCGCGGAACAGGTGTTCCAGGGGGCAGAGCCTGCGTGTTGATTTTACCTCTGTTCAGATTTGTCCTGGGAGTTAGGGACTTACTATTTGGGCTGCTCTCAGCTCAGGAAAGGTCTTGGGGCTTTTTCAGGGGGACTTCAGGCCACTTCCTCCCAACTCGGCCTGCACTTTAGGGCCTCATCTAGGAGACCACCGTGTCGGCAGTTGGAGGGATGTGGGCTTTTCCCAGGGAAGAAGGGCTGAGGGGCAGAGTTACCTACCAAGGAATGAGCTTTGTGTAGAGATGCCTGGCTGAGCAAGCACACTTACTTCACGGACCCTGGGTAGGGATGAGGGTCTCCCTTTCTCCTGGTGCTTAGTTCCTAATATGATACATGTTGCTGTTGTTATGTGCTGTTGACTCACTTGCAACTCATAAGGACACTGTTTACAACAGCTCTGAACCTTGTTCTACCTGAGCCAACCTCATTGTCTCTGACACACCTAGCCCCCCATTACCCCAGTCACTGTGTCAATCCATCTCATCAAGGGTCTTTCTCTTTTGCGCAGTCCCTTCACCTTTCCAAACATGATGTTCCTCCTTGCAACAGGTCCAAAGTATATCAGACAAAGCTTCAGAATCCTTGCCTCCAAGTAGCAGCCTTGTTTCAACCCTCTCTAGGATGAACCTGTTTGTTCTCCTAGCAGTCCATGGTGTAGTCAATGCTCTTCTCTAGCTCAAAGGCATCCACTTTCCTTCTATCATCCCTAGTCATTGTCCAGCTTTCTGATGCATAGCAAGTAATTGCAAAAGCCATGGCTTGGATCAGGCATACCCTAGTCTTCAGACTGACACTGTTGCTCTTCAGTACTCTGGAGAGGTCCCTGACAGCAGACTCTCCCAATGCAATTTGTCTTTTGATTTCCTGACTGCTGGTACTAAGAGTATTGATTGTGGAGCCAAGCAAACTGAAGCAGTTAACAATCTCAATCTCTTCACCATCTATCATGTTGCTGCCAATTGGCCAAGTGGTGAGAGTCTTTTTTTTCTTGATGTTGAGCTTCAATCCATATTGAAGGCTGCAGTCCTTGACCTCTGCAGCCAATGCTTCAGGTCCTTCTCAGTTTCAGCAAGCAGGGTTGTGTCATCTGTTTAACGCAGGTTGTTAGCCTTCCTCCTATCCTGATGCCACATTCCTTCTTATATAGCCCAGCCTCCCAGATGATCTATTTTGCATATAGATTGAAAAGTTATGGAGATAGGACATATCCCTGGTGTATAGCCTTCCCAATTTTGATACATATTATGTGCTAGTTTTTCTCACAGAAGTGGGAAAGAGGCAAGGAGCCTAAATTTCAGCCACCAGGGTGGAACGGAAGGTACTGTGGCAATGAGGCTGCCTGATGTCATCTGAAGCGTCCCTGATGTGAAGTCAGTCCGTGCTGGTACAGGTGACCAGACATTCCTTAACTTAACCCCTTTACTGCCTTCCACCTCTCCTTTCAGGAAGTTTCTTCCATGAGCCTTCCCTCCCTCCTTCTCACTCTTCCTTCTCAGCCCAGATGGAGAAGGAGAAGCAGCAGCTGGGTCCTGGGGCTGGAAAAGGCCAAGTGCCAGTGCCTTGCGCATCCAGCTGGTAGAGAGGTCAGTACACATTCTGGAGCCAAATTATCAAGACTCCATTCCCAGCACCACAGTTTATCAGCTGTGTGAATTTGGAAAAGTTACTTAACCCTTCTGTGCCTTGATTTCCTTGTCTGTAAAATGGGAATAGTGGCAGTACTTACCTCCTTAAGATTACTGGGAGAATTAAATGAGCATTGGTAGTTCCGTGGTTAAATTATCACCTCCCATGCTGGAGATCTGAGTTCGAATCCTGGCTAGGGTAGTTCAAGTGCAGCTGCCAAGCATCTGTCAGTGGAGGCTTTCATATTGCTGTGATGGTGACCAGGTTGTGGTGCTTTCAGATAGAGCCTTGTGTTTCTACAAATCAGCCAAAGAAAGTCCATGATTCACATCAGTTTGATCCTGTTGGGAACGGGGTCACCATAAATGGGCCGACTTGATGAAGCTACAAAAGTGAAATGCTTAGCACAGTGCCTGGCATGTCGTCAGCACTCCGTATTGGTTCCCTCTGGCTGTGTACTACCCTTTGTATTCTCCCTCCTCTCCTGCCCATCAGCTCCGGAGCCTGCAGGAGCGAAAACAACAAAGAAAACTCAGCAAGTGCCCTGGGAAGAATTAGACTATCAGACCCTGAACTAGCATTCCCGGGATGGCCAAATGGTTAAGTGCTCCACTCCCAGCAGATCCAGACGTGGATCAGAAGGCAGGTCTGGTGGTCTGCTTCTGAAGGTTGCTCCTTGGAAACCCTGTCACACGGGTGTGTCACACGAGTGTGTCACACGGGTGTGTCACATGGGTGGTCTACCACACACAGTATCCATGGAGTCAGACTCCACTTGACAGCAACTACCAACAGCAACAAGGGATTGAACGTGCAGCTGCAGAGCTGGAAACAGAAGCCCACGTGTGTCCACACCCGGCTGGGATCTAGCTGAGGCCAGCACCGCGAAGCACAGCTGGTGTCCTTTCCTCCTTTTGTGGCCCGAGGGTTCCATTTGTTCTTACAGAGGAGGAGAATGAGGAGCCTTGGACAAAGCTTCTGATTGGCTGTTTCATTCCAGTCTCTTTCTGCTGTCTGGGAAAGGAGAGGGCAAAAATGTGCTTAAGTAAAATTTCCAAACGGTGGGCTTCTAGGGGAGCTCTGATGGCATAGTTCGTGGAGAGCTGCATTGCTGACCCAAAGGCAGCGCCTTCCTGGTGGCTTGAATCCGGGGCAGAAAGGTGTGTGATCTCCTGTGGGACTGAGAGCCTCAGCGACCGCATGAAGGATCTGCTATGAATTAGTGAGAGAATGAGTGGCTAGGCTGCGAGAGGCACCCTGCCAACCTCAAACCCAACGTGGGAAAGGTTAACAGTTCAGAATGACCAGGTGATCTGCTGAGAGAAAGATGGGCAGTCTCCCCTAAAGGGTTACTGCCTTGAAAACCCAGTGGAGGTCGGTCATGAGTTGGATCTGATTCCACGGCAGTGGGATTATGAGCTGCTAACGTTGCTCTGAGCTCTGGTGGCCTAGAGGGTAAGTAGTTGCACTCCCACCCCAAGGCACACAGTTCAAGTCCACCAGCTGCGCTGTGGGAGAGAGATGGACAGTCCCACGGGAGGGTCAGCTCTGAGTTGGTTCTGACGCAGTGGCCGACAACAAGGACCACAACAGCAACAACAAAGTTTCCCGGGTGACATGATGACATGACTTGTGGGGCTGTTAATAAGTAGAATGTTTGAATCTTCCAGCCACTCTGCAGGAGAAAAGTGGGCAAACTCGATGTAGGGTCAGTACGACTTGAAATCAGCACAGCGGCCGTGCGTGTGATTTATGGGATCGGGAGTGCTGGTGGCCAAGTGGCAAGAAGCGTACTGCAGGAGGATGGGCAATCTCGTCCTGAAAAATCTCGCCTCTGAAAACCCACTGGAAGGTCAGCTATGGGTCGGTTCTGACTTGAAGGCACGCAACAGCAACAGCAAAAAAGTTAAAGCTAGGGAGCTCTGCTGGCCTAGTGGTAAGAAGCAGCACTGCAGTCTTCAAAGCATGTCGTTCAAATCCACCAGCTGCTGTGCAGGAGGAGGATGGGAAGTCTACTCCCTTATGATTTACTGGCTCCAGAATCCGCCCCCTGCAAAAAGTTGGCAGTTCAAAATCGCCCCGAGGCTCCTCAGAAGAAAGGCCTGTGACGTAGTTCTGGAAGAATCCCACAGAGCGCTCTCACATACACGGGCCACCGCCACTGTGGGTGGGTTGGAGTTGGTGCTGGTTGGGTTTTATTTGAGTGTCTTCGAGAAGGAAGGAGGAAGGGGGAGGAGAGTTGGGATGGGGGAAGGGGTCTGTTCCAGTTCTCCATCCCAGGGGGTGGGGGATGGGGACTGGAGTGCCTAATTCCTTGGGCTAGAAGTGGGCTGATACAGAAGGTGGTGACACTGGACACAAAGGAGACACAGGGAGACAGTGCACCAGTAGACTTTTTTTATGATGTGGTCTTTCTGGGGAGGGGGACCCCTTGGGGAAGTATTTCCCAGAACCACAGCCCCCACGCTTGGGCTGCCACCCTCCCTCCCCTCTCCTTGTAGGGATGCCCGGGCCCCACAGGCCCCTCACTCCCTTGAGGGTCCTGGGAGGTGCCTTCTCAGTCCTCAGAGCCCATTCTTCTCGGGTGCTGAGGCCTGGAGTGGGACCATCTGCTTCTGCTGCTCTCGCTGCTGTCGGCTTGGTTTCCTTTTCCTCCTGTGGGCAGAGACGTGGTGCTTGGTGTGGGGGGCATGGCATGCAGCTCAGGAGCGGGGTCCCCAGGGGCTCCCCACTCAGCTTGCCTGCCACCCACTCTCTGCCCCAGACATCTCCTGCTCCCTGCAGCAGAGATACGCAGGAAGGACTGCAAGATGCCCAGCCAGTGTGGAAAGCAGGGAGGAGAGCCCGGTTCTGGGTGAGGGGTTGCACTCTCTGAGTTGGGGTGGGCTCCTCCCTGCTCCTCTGGGGCACCTTCTTCTCTGTCAAGCTCCACCTGGAGGCTGGGGCTGGCACCGCAGGGAGGGTGTAGCTCACCTGTTCTCCAAGTCCTGCACCGTGTCTGGTAGTGGCTGGCCCAGGGTCTCAGGCAGGAGAGCAGTGACTGCGCTGGCAGCCACCGGGATGGCGCCGTAGATGAAGAGAGGGGTGGAGGGGTAGAGCTCGGCGGTCATGCTCACCAGAGGGCTCACGATGCTGCCCACCCGGGCCATGGTGCTGCCCATGCCCAGGCCCGTCTGCCTGTGGGGACACAGTTCTGGTGTGAACACAGAGGTGCCGGCTACACCTGGCACCCGGGCAGCTCAGGCCCAGCTCTGGTCAGGACATCCCTGGCTGTTCCCTGTTTCCCATTTGATGGTTACTCCTACTTGGCTTACGTCTGGACCGGAAAAAAGAGAAGCTAGCCAGAGAATTGGCAAATCTAGGAATTAATTCTGCCTCTGCCCTTAATTCACTTTGTAACCAAGGCAAAGAAATTATTTTTCCTCTCTGAGCCTCAGTTTCCCTGTCAAAGGAAAGAGTTGGTTAGAAATGGTTCTCCTAGGGGAGCTCTGGTGGCCTAGTGGTAAGGAGCTGCAACTATAATCCCAGAGGCGCACGGTTCAAATCCACCAGATGCTCTGCCGGGGAAGGAGGGACAATCTCCTCCTGTACCAGTCAGATCTGATTTGACGGTACACGCACAGAAAAATAATAAATTTAAAAAAAAAAGAAATGGTTCTCCTATTACTGGAGGTTTTAAAGTTACTTTCAGTTGTCTCAGCCCCACATAGACCTGTTGGATTGGTATCTTCAGGGGAAAGGACTTGGGATCTAGTTAAGAGCATGCTTTATGAGAGACTCAGAGACAACATGCTTGGGTTCAAATCCTGGCTGTGTGACCTTGGGCGAGTCACTTGCCGTCTCTGTGCCTTGGTTTTCTTAGTTGTAAAATGGTGATAGTAATAATAGTGTGATGATGGTATTAGGCATCATTTGCTCTGTTGCACATAGGGATGCTATGCGTTGGAGTAGACTCATTTTACCTAACAACATTCTGATAGACTTGTTATGAGGATCCAGTGAGTTGCTATTCGGAAAGAGTTTTGACAATGCCTGTTACATATTGACCTTTCTACCATTATTTTCCTGAAATTCTACATGGACATACAGGAAGAACTATCCCCTCTCAGGGATCTTATCCAAATAGTCTGGGGAAGCTTAACACATCTTTCACATCTGATGATTTCTGTAAAAGGCTCATATGTATGTTTTGTCCCATTCTTTTTAAATTATTTGTTCATTCACGTATACTTTTCTCCCTTCCCCTCCCCTCAGTTCCCCTTGTAAGACTACGAATTGTTGCACGAATGGCTTCTAATTGTCCATTCCTTTCAAACTGCCTTTCCTGTTATGTATTCCAGTGCAGTATTCATGAAATACTTACTGCATCCAATTATTAAAATTAACTTGTGGGTTTTGTTTCTTAATGCCAAAACATATTCCCACCCAGCAACCCCCCAAAAAACCCAGCAGTGCTGTGTTTATCTATGATCTACTCATGTGCAAGTGTTTAAAAGTGTAGTTCCCATGATGGGGAGTAACGTTCGTGTTTGTGCTCTTTGGTTTCAGGTGTACCACTTGATTTATAGGTAGGTGGGTAGATTATCTGGGCTTTCTATTCTGTCCTTGTTGGTGACCCCTTTAGAGACCTTCTTCTAGGCTCAGGTAAAGGCTTGGAGGGAGGCCCTGCCTGTGTGGCCCAGACAGTGACCCAGGAAGTGTGTGCTGAGTACTTTCAGTATCATTTGCTATGATGGGTGTTGAGAAGGGCCTTGGGATGTGCAGAACAACTTACACCAAGATACTAACATCCCCTTACCTCCAGGCTCCCCCTTACCGAATCATTGTGGGGTAAAGCTCTCCAGTATACAGGAAGATGCAGTTGAAGGAGGCAGCCAGACAGCCCTTCCCCAGTACAGCAAGGGAGGTTCGAACAATGGTCTGGTCTAGAAGAAAGGAAAGGGCCAGAGGGAGCTTGGGAGTGGGGGCTGAGGGAAATGGCTCCCCTGCCTCCTGAGAAGTTGGACCACGTCTGGGGATGCAGCCTAGGGTGGGAGGGGCCTAAATCCCCATGGATGCTCACCCTGGGGTACCACTCCATTGATCAGGATGCAGATACCCGCCAGCAACAGCGAGGCCATCTGAGCAGCCTTGCGGCCCAGGGAGTTGATGACTAGGAAGCATACAAGCTTGGCAGGCAGGTCCACAGCCCCAAAGATCACCTGGATCAGGTAGATGCTGACCCCAAAGCCCTGCAGGTCCATGACCAGCCCGTAGTAGGCGAAACTAGTGGCAAACCTAGTGGGGTAGGGAAAAGAGTGTGGATTTGTCAGACACGCTTAACACGTTGTCACACACTTTTAAAGTTGACGACCATGCTAGAAACACATTTGCCGTCATTTGCAGCAACGTGTTAAAGAGGGACACTCATTCCGAATAAGAGTGGCCTACACAGGCATCCCGTGGAAGGACCTAGAATCTTTCTTGGTTACTGCTTCTTCTGACTTTTAGTTTTTAACTTTTTAGTATTGGAATAGTCCTCTCATACCCCCCACTCCCCAATTCCCAAGCTTTTCACGGCTAGTGCATTAGAAAATTTGCTGTACAAGATTGACCTAATTTTGGTCTTTATCTTATCTATTCATGCTGGGCTTATTGAGGTGGACAGGTGAGCTACTAAGACCAAATCTTTAGGGCCAGGGTCTTGGGAGAGGCCAGAGATTTCTAGGACTTGTCCATGGTCCTGGAATGAGTGTCATATACCTTTAACAGTACACAAAAGGAAGCTTACCTAACTCTCTGGCTAGGACCCATAGTAGCTTGAATCCCCCCCAAATTAGAAGCAAGCAGGTCATTGGCAACATTGTGTTTCCTCTCTCCATGCCTCTCTTCACTGTGTGGAGTAAGATTTGCTGTGGTGATGGGAGGATGGTGTTGGAGTGGCGATGAGAAGGAAGCTCTGGCCCAGAGCCCCTTAAAGGCAGTTTTGTATTACTTTTTTTTTTTTAATGTGTATACTGTCAAATCAGATCTGACTGGTACAGGAGGAGATTGTCCCTCCTTCCTCAGCAGAGCATCTGGTGCTGGTAGATTTGAACCTCACATCCTGGGATTGCAGTGCTGCTTCTTGCCACTAGGCCACCAGAGCTCGCCAAAGGCAGTTTTAACATCTGTTTGCTTGAATCATGAAATTCTGTCTCACATACTTGGGGCATGTGGTAAGGAGGGGCCCGTCCTTGGAGAAGGACATCATGCTTGGAAGGGTAGAGGGTCAGCACAAGAAATGAAGACCCTTGACGAGATGGATTGATTGACTCAGTGCCTGCGGCAACGAGGTCAGGTGGATTAGAGACAGTGAAGTTGGCTGAGGATAGGGCAGCGTTGAGAGCCATTGTTCATAGGGTTTCTATGAGTCATAGTCAAGTCAGAGACACCTAGCAACAACAACAACATTGACTTTATCTAGAGTTCTCACAGGCTAGTAATATATCTGAATGTTTTTCCAGCAAAATAGGTCTTTGCCTTCAGGATGTAATCCTGTTGACCCAGGACCACTATTCCCAATGAGGTGTTTCTTAATTGGAACAAGGCTGGTGGATGGAGAAGGAGAGTTTGGGGACAGAGCCCAAGCTGGAGGGACCTGGTCCTTCGGGGCACTCCCTGGAGGGGTGACTGCCCTCACTCATCGCTCACTTGTCGTCAGTCTGCTGCCTCCTCCCTCTGTCTGACTTCTCCCACCCACGCATCAGCTCCTCCCCACGGGCCTTTTCCCTTTCGATGTGCCTGCCTCTCTGTCCACCAGTCGCTGCGCCTGGGCCTACCACAGCATGGTGAGGCACAGGAAGAGGTGGCGGAGGCTGGGGCAGCGCACCAACTCCAGGGCTGAGGCCTGCCCTTTGCCTGTGGTCATCTCCTTCTGCAGGCTGGCTTGGAGCACCTGCAGAGGTGGGCAGTGCTTAGGGCCTGGCCTCTTCCAAGGGTCCTCCCAGCCCACCCTCTGCTTAGAAAGCCAGGGATTGGGAAAAGGGGAATGTGCTGCCCTGGTAGTAAGGAGTCATAAGAAGTCGCAGGGTCTTACTTCCTTGTTCAGTTTGGCTCCCTCTTCTTGCTTCCCATTGATCCGGGCCACCTTCTGCAGAGCCGTCAGGGTGAGGTCGAGTCTCCCGGAGGAGGAGTACCAGCGAGCTGACTCGATGAAGAACCTGCGAGCAGGAGAGGATGGGAGTCAGCGTGGCCCCACTCCCAGTCCCTACATCCAGGCATAAGGACAGGGGCCTGTCATGGGGTTTCAGGTAAGACTATGAACCTTTACTACCTCCCTCTCTATAGAATCAGAACCAGCTCTGAGAGGACTCATTCTTCAATCCACAAGCTGAGCTTGGATGCCAGGTAGGGGAGAAAGCAGGATGGAGATTTTGGGGGAAACCAGAAAAGAGAATACCCGGGCAGGAGGGAATCTTCTGTTTGCCCATCTGTTAACTATGGTGTCTACTTGGGGTGAGCTTGCACTTCTGGCTTTGACCTTCTCTGATTCTCTGAGGCTGGGTGTGTAGTACTCTTGGAGAGATGCTGTGCCCTTTGCCACTACCTGGGCTTCTATGGCACCACCTCCTACCACCCTGGGCCCCACGAACCAGGAGTAGATGAAGAAGATGAAAAAGGGCACCGAGACGAGCAGCTGCAGATGGCGCCAGTGGGGCATGGCATAGGCCACGCCGGCCAGGAGGAACTGGCCCAGGCTGTAGACGTAGCCGATCAGGGTGCCCACATAGGCCCGGGTGTGGATGGGCATCCACTCTACATCTGGAAAGAGGGTTAGGACAAGGTGAAGGGTTACAGCTGGGTGGTGCTGGACCTGGGGCTGCCGGGTGGACGGAGAGCCCTGGGGCAGGAGTGGCCTTTCTGGTGTCCCTCACTCAGTGTCATGCAGTTGAGGGCGATGCTAGCCAGCGACATGCCCGAGAGGAGCCGGAAGGCGCAGTAGGTGGGGAAGTTGGGCGCGAAGGCCGCGCAGGTCCCTGACACTGCCGTCTGCAGGTAGTTTAAGATCAGTATCTTCCGGCGGCCCAGCCTGTAGGAGGGAAGACCTGGGTAACTGACCAGGGGATGAAAGATGGGGTGTGCAGGGCAGGGAGGAGAAGAGAGGGGGTGATGGCTGAAGAACAGGCATCCCTCCCAGAAACTGTGAGTTCAGACACCCCAGTGAAGAGGATATCACAATAGAGCTTTTGGTTTCCCAGTAGTCATGAAATGATGCTAACACTGTGCTGTAGCCTATGAGGTGCACGACAGTATTGTGAAAAAAAAAAAGTTTGAAATATTGTGCATATTTAATATATGTGACAGAAACACATATATTAAATATGGACAATATTTCAGGAAGCACATGCTGTTGGAAAAATGGTACCGAATGAAAAGATAGTATAATAATAAGCATGTTACTGCTGTTGGCATTAGGTGCTGTCGAGTAGATTGCAACCCATAGTGACTCTATGTACAACAGATCTGAACCTTGTCCTGTCCTGTCCTGTGCCACTCTCACACTTCCTGACACACTAGAGCCCATTGCGGCAGTCACTGACCTTCTCTTTTGCAGACCCTCCCCTTTTCCAAGCATGATAGCATCTCCAAAAAACAGCCTCTCCTAGAAACGTGCCAGAAGTATGTGAGACAAAGCTCTATTGTCTTTGCCTCTAAAGAGCCCACTGGCTCCAAGACATATTTGTTTGTTCTTTTGGCTGTACTTGTTGTTTTACAATAATAGGCATAGATCAGTGGTAATTAATTCTATGGGATACAATGTCGATGAATGTATGAAATACAATGTGAGTGAGGATTATATGGAACATAGTGTATATGAATGGAACACAATGTAAATGAATTGTTGTACGAAGAAGAATTAAAAAATAAAGACAATGGTACCAAAAGACTTGCTGGATGCACAGTTGCCACGAACCTCCAGTGTGTGGAAAAGAAAAGAAGAAGAAAAAAGGCAGTATCTGTGTGACAAAACACAGCACAGTAAAATGAGGCTGCCTGTATCTGGTACAGAGAACTGGTCTCAGAGGCTAGTTACCCCAGCCGTGAACTGTGCAGTCTGGAGACCAGATGCCCTGGGTTCTAGTCCTGCCCAATTGCTGACTACGGGAGAGTGGAGGGAAGTGTCCCCTGAGCATGAGGATGCATGAAGTGTCCCAGGTACGTTCGTTCACATGCCCTGCCCACTTGTGATGATCCGGTTTGGAGGAGGAATAGTGTCACTTGTCCACATAGCCTGTGAACTGTGGGGCAGGATTTGAAGCCGGAGCCTCTTCTCTGCCCGTCTCCCCAGCTCCCTCTGGAACTGCCCCTTTCCACCCTCGTCTGTGGAATGCCTAGCTTGGGCCTGAGCCAAGGTGTTGATGCTGTGACCTGGGAGCCCTTTGGATCGTCGGAGTGCTCCGGGCTGCTGCGTGTGAGTGTGTGTGAGAGCGTGCTGGAGAAGCCAAGGACAGAGGCAGTGTTTTGGACCAGTATTCTGTTTCCTTCAGAGCATTTCAGCTTTAATCTGTCAAGTTTACTGGAATTTCAGAGAGAGAGTTTTTATTGTTATAAAAAGAATGGAAAACTCTAGGATCAGACGGCAGTGCTCATGTCTTGGTCATTCTGGGAATAAGACTGTGAAGGTTCTCTTGGAATTCCTGGCTGGTGCATACGCTTAAGTGCTAGGCTACTAACTGAAGGGTTGTAAGTTCGAATCTATCCAGAGACCCTTCAGAAGAAAGACTCAGAGGTGTAATTCTAAAAATCAGCCATTGAAAACACTACGAGGAGTTTCTACTGTGACACATGTGGAGTTGCCGTGAGAATTAACAGATTCTTGTCCTCAAACCAGCTGCAGATGGGAATGCCAGCCTCCAACGGAGGCCCGGTATGCCCAGCCAAGGAGTCCCCAGGCCCTTGTCCCTCCCCAGGACTGACCTGTCTGCCAGGTTCCCGAACACCATGGCTCCAAGCAGCACCCCAACCATGTACAAGGACTGAGCGAGCTGGCGTAAGGCTCGGTGAGAGCACACGAGGTCCCACTGTGGGAAAAGGGCAAGGACCCGGCAGAGGTGAGCCCAGGCTGTGAGGGAGCCCCGTCTCCCTATTTCTGATTGGCCCTGAGGGAGCCCCTTCCCCCATTTCCTATGTGCCCTGAGGGACCCCCTTCCCCTTATTTTCGACTGGCCCCTTGGGGACTGTATCACCCTCATTGTCGCCCTCTGTGACCCAGGGACCTTTTTGAGTTTCAAGTCTCCTTTTTTGCACAGACTCCTGTTTTGTGTCTCATTCTCTCTCTTTCCACCTTGGTGTCTGAAGAACTTCAGACTCTATGTGTGTGTCTGAGGGGCAGACAGAGGGAAGATCTGGTAGCCTAATGGCAAGGAGCTGTGCTGCCATTCCAAAGGCGCATGGTTCGAATACCCCATCTGCTCCACCAGAGGAATATTGCACATGGGAGCAATCTCCTCCTGTGTGATTTACCTGCCTCTGAAAACCTGCTAGCTGGTCAGGTATGGGTGGATTCTGACTTGAACAGCAACCACATATCTAGTTTTTAAGATATAAAAATAACTGGGGCAGGGTGGGGGGATGGCAGAGCCTGCCTGGTGCTGGAGAGGGGGTGCAGGTCCTCACCTCAGTCACGATGGTGGCGGGGAAGGTGCTGTGGTCATAGATCCAGCCGTCCACACAGGGCTCCGTGGCCCCTGTGACGTTGGTCCCTGTGCCATTGGCCGAGGGTGGTCCCCGCTGAGGGGCAGTGAAGCGCAGGCAGGACTCGGGCTGCCCCTGCCTGTTCCGGGGCAGCCAGCCCTCTAGCCCACCGTCCTGGCTGAGGTTGGCGTTAGCAGGCGGGCGGCAGTGGTGAGTGGGGATGGCGGCAGTGAAGTTCTGCAGGGTGTTGTGGGAGGCCATCAGAAGAAGGGGGAGGACCACCAGGGTGACTTGGATCCGCTGGAAGCGGCCGACGCCCCCCACCTGCTGCAGGAGGTCATTGAAGGCCATGGGGCCAGGCCCGGCCAAGCGGCTGGGGGCTGAGGACGTCCAGTCCCGGGATCGCCGTCTCTCAGTCCTCTGCCTGCTGTCCTCCACCAGAGGAGAGGGGCTGCCGTGACCTCCGCAGCTGAGCTGCGCCTGGAGCAGGATCTGAGCTGGCTCTGTGGGGGGACAACAGCCTGGCCGGGGCCGTCCCTCCTCCCCTCCCTCGCTCCGGCTCAGGCCCTCCCTTTCCCTTGCAGCCTTCCTCACTTTGAGGGACCTCCGTTTTCAGGGTCTGCTGTCAGCCTGACCCTTGCATGCACAGTTTTTAATCCTTGGCTTGGAGGGAGTTAAAGTGTGACTTGGTATCAGGAAGGTTAACCCTTGGAGGATCATTGTATCAGTGGAATTTCTCCAAGTGGGTATAAAGGGCAGAAGAGGGTAGGCCCCGGCAGAGGTGGCCAAGAGGAGGGACGGGGAGGTCTCGCCCAGGTACTGAAGGGCTAAAGGGATGAAGGGGATCTTGTTTGTCCCTTCTGCCTCCATCCATTAGACTTTAGGAAGTGTGGTGGTGTCCTGAGGGGGTTCTGGCCGTCTTGTTGGATGAGAATCAAATAATCTTATCTTTGGGAGGTTCTTGCTCTTACTTGCCATCAAGTCAACCATGACACATAGTGACCCTATGAACAATGGCCCTGAAACTTGCTCTTTTCCAAAGCCAACCTCACAATCTCCAGCACACCTGACCTCAATGCCACAGTCACTGTGCCAACCCATCGCATCCAGGGTCTTCCTTTCTGGTGCTGACCCTTCCAAGTATGGTTGTCCATCTCCAAGGACTGGATCCTCCTGATACCAAAGTATGTGGGACAGAGCTTCAGCATCCTTGCCTCCAAGGAACAGCTTAGTTTCTCCCTCTTATGTTGTTAGGTGCCATCAAGTTGAGTATGACTCATAGTGACCCTGTGAACAGCAGGTCTGAACTCTGTCATACCCTGTACCATCCTCACCAACTCTGATACACTTGAGCCCATTGCTGCAGTCACTGTGTCAATCCACTTGGTTGAGAGTCTTCCTCTCCTTCGTCATCCCTCCACTTTTCCTAGCATGATGGGCTTCCTAGAATTGAGAAAATACAGCACATCCAGTTAAATGAAAAATTTATATATATATATATATATAATGAGTGTGAACTGCTAGGAAAACAAACGGATTCATCCTGGAGAGGGTTAACTGGATGATTCCTTGGAGGCAAGGATTCTGAGGCTCCATCTAACATACTTTGGACACGTTGTAAGGAGGGACAGGTCCTTGGGAGAGGGACATCATGCTTGGGAGGGTGGAGGGACAGTGCAGGAGGGGAAGGCCCCCTATGAAGTGGATTGATTCAGTGACTGGGGTAATGGGGGTAAGTGTGTCAGAGACAGCGAGATTGGCACAGGGCAGAGCAGGGTTTAGGACTGTTGTACATAGGGTCGCTATGAGTCGCAAGTGACTTGGCGGCACATAACAACAATAACAAGTGTGCTGTGGATCAGAGCAACTTGACAGCAGTGGGATGGTTCGTGAAATCTTGTTGGCCGCTGTTCAGTCAAGTCATGGCATGGCGACCCCAGGCATGGCCAGCACCACAGTTGGTCCACTGTGATCCACAGGACTGTTGTGTTTTTCACTGGATGATGTTTGAAAGATCTCCAGCGCGTAGCTTGGAAGCTCCAGTGAAACCTGTTAAGCAGCATAGAATCAGCAGGACCTCTGCTGACAGGTGGGTGGTGGTTGTGCATGAAGTATGTCGGTCGAGGAGGGAACTCACATGTCGCACAAGGCAGGGGAAAAGTCTCCCCCTGGACCATAGCTGTGCCTTGCCCTCGTACAACATTAAGGATGTATTTATACTTAAAAATTATTCATTAATCCAAAATTAAACTTTAACTAGGTCTCCTGTATTTTTGTTGCTACGTCTTGCAATCCTCATCTTTGGCCTCCTGAGGTCAACTCACGTCTTAGAGGATCATGACTTTGCTCATTTGTGAGAAGCTGCTTTTGAAGACGTGAAACCGAAGTCAACAACATATGTAATAAAGGTGATTGTGGGAGCTTTCACCCTCTTGACCATCTTAAAGTAAAATATCACATCCTTGTTTGCTGAAACTGAGGATGACCTCTTCTGCATTTGCTGCAGAAGGTCAAGAACTATAGCTTCAAAATGTATTGAAGAAGCTCAACATCAAAAAAACAAAGATTCTCACCATGTGGCCAATTGGCAGCATCATGATAGAAGGTGAAGAGATTGAGATTGTTAAGGACTTCAGTTTGCTCGGCTCCACAATCAACACTCTTGGCACCAGCAGCCACGAAATCAAAAGAAGAATTGCTCTAGAAAAGTCTGCTGCTAGGGATCTCTCCAGTACTGAAAAGCAATGATGCCAGTCTAGAGACCAAGATGTGGCTGATCCAGGCCATGGTCTTTACAAGGGATGATGGAAGGAGAATTGATGCTTTTGAGCTATGGTACTGGAGAAGAGTATTGTCAGACGAAGTTCAGAATCCTTGCCTCCAAGAGGCATCCTGGTTCCACCCTCTTCAGGATGAACCTGTTTGTTCTCCTAGCAGTCCATGGTATATTCAGTACTCTTCTCCAGCACTTCAGTTCAAAAGCATCAATTCTCCTTCTGTCATCCCTTGTCATTGTCCAGCTTTCTGATGCATAGCATGTATTTCTGATAGAAAGGGAATACATTACATCAAGTGGATTTTATAGAGGGAATATATCCAAGCACATCCTACTCTGAAACAGTAGTTTTCTAAGAGGAACAATTTGGTACCCTCAGATACATTTGCCCATGTCTGGAAATATTTTTGGTTGTAACAAGCTGGAATACTACTTGGAGCCAAGGATTCTGAAGATTCGTCTGACATACTTTGGGCATGTTGCAAGGAGGGACTGGTCCTTGGAGAGGGACATCATGCTAGGGAGAGTGGAGGGACGGCAACAGAGAGGAAGACCCTCGATGAGATGGATCAATTCTGTAAGTGGAGTGGTGGGAATGAGTGTGTTTGAGACAGCAAGGTTGGCACAAGATAGAACGGAGTTTAGAGCTCTTGTACATAGGTTTACTATGAGTCGCAAGTGACTTGATGGCACATTACAACAGCAACAACAACAAGTTGGTTAAGGGTTGTTACTGGCATTTATGGTTAAGATTAAGGATGCTGATGACACCCTGCAATGCACCAGCTACGATCTCCCCCACCACTTCACCCCAGAGGAAGAGCTCAGTCTGTATGCTGAACCAATAATTTGTGAAGCCAGACTCTTTGAAGAAGAATGTGGCATCAGGATCAGAGGAAGGTTCATCAACAACCTGTATTATGCAGAGGACACAGCCTTGCTTGCTGAAAGTGAGGAGGACAGGAGAATGGGAAGCATTTGTTGCAGAAGATCGAAGCCTACAGCTTTCAATACAGATTGCATCCGAACATCACAAAAGCAAACGTCCTCACCACTGGGCCAATGGACAACATCATAATAGATTTAGAAAGGACTGAAACGGTTAATGATTTGTTTTACTTGGATCTACAGTCAACACCATTGGTACTAGCAACCAGTAGATCAGGAGACAAATTGTACTGGGAAAGTCTGTAGTCCAGGACATCTCCAAAATATAAAGGAGCAATGATGTCACTTTGAGGACTAAGGTACACCTGATTCAGGCCATGGTCTTTTCAGTCACTTGCTATGTATCTGAGGGCTGGACAATAAATAAGGATGACAGAAGAATAATTAAAGCCCTTGAATTATGATGTTGGAAAAGAGGACTGAATATTCCATGGACTTCCAAAAGAAGAAACAGGTATGTCTTGGAAAAGGTGGAGCCAGAGTGCTTTTTGGAGGGAAGGATAGCAAAGCTTCATCTCTCATACTTTGGACATGTTGCTAGAAGAGACTATTCCTTGGGGAAAGACATCATGCTTAGAAGGGTAGAGGATCAGTGAAAGAGAGGAAGACCCCCAATGAGATGAATTGGCATGGCGACTATAGCAGTGGGCTTAGAAATGATGACGGCACAGGATAGGACAGAGTTAAGATCAGTTGTTTATAAAGTCACTGTGAGTCATACTTGGCTTGATGGCATGTAACAATAACAACAAGAACATCAATAGCAGCAATTAAAAACCTGTCCTCAGATGTCTCAGATTCACTTTGCATAGTGATTGATTCCAATGTCTGTCTGACTAAGGAAATTCACATCAGATGAATGATTCCTACCAGGAATTTCTGAGAAACCCCACGCGCTCGGTTGAGTGGCAAAAGGTTTTGTAAGTTGAGGGCGAGAATGTGTCCTTCTTGTTCTGCTTGAGTTGAACAGAGTAGCCTGGGCTCCAAAGTACAGCAGCTCTTCTACAGATGCTTTGGCCCCAGGGAGCCTCAGTAAGCTCGGACCCAGTCCTTGCCACTGTGCTCTAACTTGAGTGTTGGGTCTGACTTAACCATCCTAGGCTTTTGTTTGCCCTCGATAGTGTCTCTCTTGCTGGGCCTCTGTCTCTCTCTGTAATCTAGCTCCATTCCTCCTCATGTGTGAACGCAGTGGATGTTTGGGGTGTGAAAGCATTACAGGAAGCATCCCAGGCACTGTGCAGATCTGGTGTGACGAATGCCAGGGCTGGAAGGGGCATTCCTTTTTCTTTTGTTCTAACTCTTGCTGTGGATAGGAAACAATTTGATACCCAAAGTCCTCTTGTCAGAAGTCAAGATGATGACCTGTTACTGTGTAGTTTACACACATATCACTTTGTATTTTAAGTCAGGGGAATGTTTATTGTTCACCAGGGCCCTTGGATACATGAAGTTTGAGGCCATTCACTGGTTTCACACCTATTCTGACTAAATTGAAAGCTGACGTTCTTCGCTGCTTTGGAGGGGTAGGTTGCCAAGCTGAAAGGCCCATGGAGATGATCTCTCCTGCATGCATGGAAGAGGCTAGAGGAAGCCCAGAGAGATGTGTCTCCGCCCAGCCCCTCCTCCCAGCCAGTGTTGGTTCTGAACTGGGACCCCGTGGGTGTCCAGATGCTTGACAACATTCTTCAAGCCAAAGTATATAAGAACTTTGTGGTCTGGGGATGCAAGGACAGCTGGACAAATAGCTTGGGAGCTTCAGGGCAAGTCTCCTGCCAGGGTTTGGTGCTCTCATGGAGAGTGGGCGGAGTGCTGAAGGCAGTGGAGGAGATGATGGGCCCCTGTGGCCAACCCTGCCTTCATTGGGTGCTCTGTGCCCAGCCTGGTCTTGGAGACGAACTCCTCTCTAGTGCCTTACCAGGCTACATCCAGAAAAAGGTCTTCCCAGTACT